ACCCACGGGCTCAGGCAATCCACTCACCTCAGCCTCCCAAAGGTGCGGGATTACAGGCTGAGCCACCAAGCCCAGCCCAAAGCAATTCTAAGCAAAAAGAACAATTGCAGAGGCATCACACTGCCTGACTTCCAATTATACTATAAGGCTACAGTAAGTAAAATGACATGGTACTGGCACAAGAAATCCTGAGTTATATTCTGCAGCCTGACCAAGTACAATTGTTGAAATGCAATTTCCTGTTGAAATGCAATTGAAAATCCCATAATCACTAAGAGGTAGCAGTTGTGTCCATCTTCCCTGGTAACCAGGGCCACATTTCTTGGTAGGGACTCAGGCGTGGGTGTGTGAGGTGAGGCAGGAAGGACATGCCAAGGTTTTTTTATTTTTTGAGTTGGAGTCTCACTCTGTTGCCCAGGCTGGCATGCAGTGGCATGCTAATGGTCACTGCAGCCTTGACCTGCTTTGCTCAAGTGATCCTTCCACCTCAGCCTTCCAAGTAGCTGGAACTACAGGCATACACTACCACACCTGACTAATTTTTTGATTTATTGTAAAGATGAGGTCTTGCCAAGTTGTCTAGGCTGGTCTCGAACCCATGGCCTCAGGTAATCCTCTCACCTCAGCTTCCCAAAGTGCTGGGATTATAGCTGTGAGAGGCTGCACCCAGCCTATGCCAGGATTTTTCCAAAAGATACAACGGATTTGTCATCGTTGCTCCTAGGTGACAGTCCTCAGCTGACCTCTGTCAAGTACTATGGCCTTCATGTCACCCTGTCCCTGGGGTCTCTCCCAACAGTGACTGTTTGTGGTACTTCCTGTCATTTCTACTCACTGTTGTTACCATGTTGTACTCCTCCCTTTTCTTTGAGTTGGAGTTTCACTCCGTCACCCAGGCTGGAGTGCAATGGCATTCTCACGGCCACCCAATGTCGACCTGCTGGGCTGTGGTGATCCTTCTGCTTCAGCCTTTCAAGTAGCCAGAACTACAGGCATGTGCTATCACACCCGACTAATTTTTGGGTTTATTGTAGAGATGAGGTCTCGCCAAATTGCCAGGGCTGGTCTCGAACCTGCAGGCTCAGACAATCCACTCCCCTGGGCCTTCTAAAGTGCTGGGATGACAAACTACTCCCCCTTTTGACTGTAACCTCAAGATTGGTCAGCATCTGTCTTGCTCACCATGGCATTGTCAACAACAGGTACAATGCCAGACTTAGAGCAGGTGCTTAATACATGTTGTGTGGGAGGAAGAAGGAGGGAAGGAAAGAAGGGAGAGAGAGAGAGAGAGAGAGAGAAAGGAGGAGGGAGGGGAGAAGGGAGGGAAAGCATGAAGGAAGGGAGGGAAGGGCGGAGGGAGGCATGGAGAGAAAGAAAGAGAAAGAAAGAGCCGGCACTGAATGCCTCACTGCATTCTGTGCCCCTGTCCCTGGGATCTCCCCCACATCCTCTGGAGCGGGGACCATGTCCTGGCTCTCCCTGTAGCTCCAGAGTCAGTCAAGGGTATGCCCACAGCCAAGGTTTGGTGCTGGTGGTGCTGGTGACCAGGACACACGCTGACCTGGCCAGCAACAGACTAGAGAGTCCCTTTCTCGCTTGCCCTCTGGCAGGCCAGGGGTCACCTCCTTTCCCTCCTCTCTCAGGTACCACCTCATGTACAAGCCGCCTCCGACCATGGAGATCCAGGCTCGCCTCCTGCAGAACCCAAAGGACACGGAAGAGAAGGTCAAGCTCAAGATGGACTTGTTCTACCGGAACTTGGCGGAGCTGGAGCAGTTCTATCGGCAGGCCATTGCCCTCAATGGGGACCAGGACCCCTACACAGTCTTCGAGTACATAGAGAGTGGGATCATTAATCCCCTGCCCCGAAAAATCCTCTGATGGCTTCAGAATAAGGAGCACTCCCCAGGAAATGAATTGATCCCCACCCCCACCCTTTTGGAAGCCGCCACTAAAAAGCCAATAAAGAGTACTGGGTCCAATTTCTGCAGTCCTGAAAGTGAGGTGGCTGGAAGCTGGCCTTGTCTTGAGCTCTGAGCATACAGGTGAGGCCTAGGGAGATGGAGAAGGTGAGAGCTTCAGGCCAGGTCCCTGGAGTCAGAGCTGGGGTGAGTCGTGCTCCAGTGTCAACACAAGGTGTGTCCTTGGATGGTTGCTTAACCCTCAGAGCCCCTCTTTTCTCAGAAGCAAAATGAGAATAATAACAGTAACTGCCTTGGGGGATTAAGTGAGGCTATCAGATGAAACTCAGTGCCTGGACTCAGTAAGCACGCAATAAAACCAACTTTAAAAAACACACACCCTCCCCTGTGCTGGGCTCAGTGGCTCACGCATGTAATCCCAGCACTTTGGGAGGCCGAGGTGGGGGGATTGCCTGAGCTCACAGGTTCAAAACCAGCCTGGCCAACTGTCTCTACAATAAATCAAAAATTAGCCAGGCGTGGTGGCTCACGCCTATAGTTCCAGCTACTTGGAAGCCTGAGGTGGAAGGATCGCCAGAGCCCAGCAGGTTGACACCGGGGTGGCCATGAGCATTCCACTGCACTCCAGCCTGGGGGAGGGCACCCCAGCTGGCCAGTGGCCGGATGCCTGCACCCTGACGAGTGCCACTGGGACAAATGTTGCTGGCTTTGGTCCCTGCTGCCTTCCACAGTGCCCAAGTGCTGGTTCAGCTCTGGCACCACTACAGACACCTTCGGGGGCCTCCCAGGTATGTCGTGGGCCCCCAGGTGTGGCGTGGGCCCCTGGAGTGTGGTGGGCCCCTGGGAGTGTCAGGGCCTCCCAAGTGTGGTGCGGTCCCCCAGGAGTGCGGGTCCCTGGAGTGCCATGGGCCCGGGGGTGTCGCGGCCAGGCTGGCTGGCTGAGGTGGCTGCCTTGTGAATGGCAGGAGATGGCCTCCCCAGCTCTGCCACGCCCCTCCTGCCACACAGCACAATGAAGCCACCTGGCTCCCCTTTGTCAGCCTGGAGGAGGCAGGAGGTCTTCCCATTGGGCCCTTGGCTGGCTGAAGGGGTCAGCGCCAATTCGGGCACCAGTGCCATGGCCCAGGAGGGCAGACAAATTTCGATCTCCGGACTGGCCAGGTTTCAGGTGACTCACGAAGTCGGATCAACAGGAACCTGGAGGAGAACACATCGCCGACACTGGCGAGAACTCAGCCCCACGACTCATGTCCAGCCTCTTTCATCATAAATCGTCCCAGGCGTCACCCTGCTTATGTTTGCTTTGTGATCAGAGGCACCTTGGAGTGTACCCTGGGCAGCGTCCACAGGTGGTATGACTGTGGACCCCACACCCAGGCTGCAGCTACAAGACCAGGATCCCCTGGGCTGGGCCGAGCAGCTTCTCCCCTGGAGATCTGGAACAAGGGAGGGCACTTGCAGGAGGGAGAGGACTCTGGGGTCTGTCTGGTGTGTGCAGCAGCAGAGACATGGAAGTTAATCTGGAGGAAACAGAAGGGAGCAGGCACATGCCTAACTCATTCCGTCAACAAGTATTTATTGAATGCCTACTATAGCCCAGCACCGGGGCTATGGCAAAGGAAAGAAACAAAATCTCTCCCCTTATGAGGCTTACATTTTACAAAGAAGGTGACAGAGTGAGAGCGAGGAAGAAGGACCATCTGATTTATATATATAATACATAGATGTGGGTATTGCTATGTTCCCCAGGCTGGTCTTGAACTCTTGAACTTAAGCAGTCCTCCTGTCGCAGCCTCCCAAAGTGCTGGAATTACAGGCTGAGCCCCCGTGCCCGGCCCCATGTGATTTTTGATGAGACACATCTCTGCATCTTCCCAACGTGCTCGTGTCTTCTGCCAGGGTGTCCGGCGAGGTTTCTATGAAAAACAGTGGTATTGTTAGGACTGATCTAGGGGTGTAGTCAGGGAAGCAGGTGGAAGGGAATTTAAATGAGGCCAGGACTCCTGGGAGTCCCCCAGGTGAGGTGCAGGGGACTTGGGAGCTGAGTTCTAACACAGATAAGGGTTCAGGGGCATGAAAACAGGACGTATTACTTGATTTGGGAACATGCTTCAATTAAAAAAAATAGAAACATAACTATATTATAGATATTTTAATTATTATAAAAAATACAAATAAGGTCAGGCTCAATGGCTCAGCCTGCAATTCCAGCACTTTGGGAGGCCGAGGCGAGTGGATTGCCTGAGCCCATGGGTTCAAGACCAGTCTGGGCAACTTGGTGAGATCACGTCTCTACAATTAAAAAAAAATTAGCTGGACGTGGTAGCACTTGGAAGGCTGAGGTGGAAAGATCATCAGAGCTCAGCAGGTTGATGCTGGGGTGGTCGTGAGTGTGCCACTGCACTCCAGTCTGGGCAACAGAGTAAGACTCCAACTCAAAAAAAAAAAATACAAATAATAAAACAGATTCACATCACATAGGAAGTAAAACTCCCAGCCTGCTCCAATAAACCTTTGACTGACATTCACTAGAGATGATCACAGCTACAAGTTTGGTGTGTCAGTTGCTGTGGATGGGTGGATGGATGGATGCTCAATACAATTCTGTAAACACTGACACCTTGTATTGCATACATACTCCACTGTCTTTAAATAAAAATGTGAGCTGGGCTCGGTGGCTCACCTTGTAATCCTGCACCTTTGGGAGGCTGAGGTGAGTGGATTGCCTGAGCCCGCGGATTCGAGACCTGCCTGGGCAGCGAGACCTCATCTCTACAATACATCAAAAAAATCAGCTGGGCATGGTAGCGCATGCCTGTAATTCCGGCTACTCGGAAGGTTGAGGCGGAAGGATCGCCGGAGCCCAGCAGGTCGAGGCTGCGGTGACCGGGAGCGGCCACTGCACTTCAATCTGGGCAACAGAGTGAGACTCCAACTCAAAAAAAAAAAAAAAAAAAATGTGAGCTGGGCTCGGTGGCTCAGCCTGTAATCCTGCGCCTTTGGGAGGCTGAGGTGAGTGGATTGCCTTAGCCCGCGGGTTCAAGACCCGCCTGGGCAGCGAGACCTCATCTCTACAATAAATTAAAAAATCAGCCGGGCGTGGTAGTGTGCGCCTGTAATTCCAGCTACTTGGAAGGCTGGGGTGGAAGGATCGCCGGAGCCCAGCAGGTCGAGGCTGTGGTGGCCAGCAGCGGCCACTGCACTCCAGTCTGGGTGACAGAGTGAGACTCCAACTCAAAAAAAAGAAAAAAAAAAAAGAAAAAACTAGCCAGGCATGGTAACGCGTGCCTGTAGCTCCAGCTACTTGGAAGGCTGAGGCGGAAGGATTGCCAGAGCCCTGCAGGTCGAGGCTGTGGTGGCCAGGAGCATGCCACTGCACTCCAATCTGGGCGAGAGTGAGACTCTAACTCAAAAAAAAAAAAAAAAAAAAGGTATCCTCTGTTTGATGCAATACACCCATCGAGATGACTTTTCCACTGCTCAAAAGTTTTGAACTCACCAGTTTTGCTTCTGCCACTTTTTTCTTTCACCTCTTCCACTTGGCAAAACGTTTCCCTTTGAGAACTTTTTTCATTCAGGGAAACAAACAAGCGAAAAAACCGGTCGGGGTGAGATCTGGTGAACAGGAGGGTGGGGCACAGGGATCATGCAATTTTTTTTTTTTGAGTCGGAGTCTCACTCGGTCGCCCAGACCGGAGTGCAGTGGCC